CCTTAGGGTATAGTTTCAAATTGCTCTCCAGAATGGTTGAATCAGTTCACAACTCCACCAACAGTGCCCCAATTTTCCCACATCTCCTCCAACATTTGTCATTTTCCTTTTGTGTCATATGATAAGTGCTACCTTAGAGGTGTTTTAGTTGGCATTTCTCTCATCAGTACTGATTCATATTACTAAAGATAGTTTTGATTACTTCATATGAAAACTATCTGTTCATATCTATTGACTATCTATTAATTAGGAAGTGGCTCTTATTTTTATAAATTTGACTCAGTTCTCTAAATATTTGAAAAATTAAGCCTTTATGAGAAAAACTTACTATAAAAATTTTTTACAGTTATGATTACTGTGTATTTCCCTCTATCGTATTTCCCCCCTTTTATACTGCTCTCTCTCTCTCTCTCTCTCTCTCTCTCTCTCCTTTTACCCTGTCCATCTTCAAAAGTATTTGGCTTCTGACTACTGCCTCCTCCAATCTGCCCTCCCTTCTATCAGCACCCCCCACTGCCTTCTCTTATCCCCTTCTCCTCCTATTTTCCTGTAGGGTAAGATAGATTTCTATACCCAATTGAGTGTGTGTGTTATTGCCTCTTTGAGTCAATTCCAATTACAGTAAGGTTAAAGTGCTCTCTTCTCCACTTCCCCCATCTTCCTCTCCATTGTAAAAGTTTTCCCTTGTGTGCCACTTTTACATGAGATAATTTACCCCATTCTACCTCTCCCTTCCCCCTTCTTCCAGTGGATTCCTCTTTTTTACCCCTTCATTTCAACCCATCATGTTCAACTCACAGATATGCCCTTTGTCTATGTATACTCCTTCTAACTGCCCTAATAATGATAAACTTCTTAGGAGTTGCACATTCATCTTCCCATGTAATAATGCAAACAGTTTAACCTAATTAAGACCCTTATGATTTCTCCTGCCTGTTTACCTTTTTATCCTTCTCTTGAGTCTTGTATTTGAAAGTCAGATTTTCTATTCAGCTGTAGTTTTTTCATCAGGAATGCTTGAAAGTCCTCTATTTCATTAAATATCCATTTTTACCCTGAAGGATTATATTCAGTTTTGCTGGGTAGATGATTCTTGGTTGTAATCCTAGCTCCTTTGCCCTCCAGAATATCATATTCCAAGCCCCATGATCCTTTAATGTGAAAGCTGCAAAATTTTCTATGATTCTGACTGTGGCTTCATGATATTTGAATTGTTTCTTTCTGGTTGTTGCAATATTTTCTGCTTGACCTGGGAGCTCTGGAATATGGTGATAATATACCTGGGAGTTTTCATTTGGGATATCTATGTTTTTTTTTCAATTTCTATTTTACCTTCTGATTCTAGAGTATCAGGGCAGTTTTTCTTAATAATTGCTTGAAAGATTACATCTAAGCTCTTTTTTTAATTATGTCTTTCAGGTAGTCCCATAATTCTTTAATGATCTATCCTTGATCTATTTACTAAGTCAGTTGTTTTTCCAATGAGATATTTCACATTTTATTCTATTTTTTGCATTTAATTTTATTGTTTCTTGATGTCCCATGGAATCATTAGTTCTTACTTGCCCAATTCTAAATTTTAAGGCATGATTTTTCTTCAGTGAGCTTTTGTACCTCCTTTTCCATTTGGCCAATTGTACTTTTTAAAGAGTTCTTTTTTTCAGTGAATATTTGTATATATTTTTTCCAGTTGGCCAATTCTACTTTTTAAGGAGTTCTTCTCTTCAGTGGATTTTTGTGCCTCTTTTATCATTTGGCCTATTCTGGTTTTTTGAGGTATTATTTTCTTCAGTATCTTTTTGTGTCTCCTTTACCAAACTGGTACATCTTTTTCATAATTTTCTTGTATCACTCTCATTTCTTTTCCCAAGTTTTCCTCTGTCATATTTGATTTTTAGAAGGCCTTTTGAGCTCTTTCAGAAATTCTTTCTGGGCCTGAGATTAATTTACATTTTTCTTTGAGGCTTTGGATGTAGCAGTTTTGATTTAGTTGTCTTCTTCTCAGTTTGTGTTTTGATCTTCCCTGTTACCATAGTAACTTTCTACGGTCAGGTTCTCTTTTTTGTTGTTTGTTCATTTTTCCAGGCTATTTCTTGACTTTCTTTATGTTAAAGTTGGGTTCTGCTTCTGGTGTGAAGCAAGCAAGTGTCAGGGTTTTTTGTGCATCTGTTTTCAGAGCTAGTTCTCAAGACTTGTAAATTTTCAGTTCTTCTAAGGTGGTATGATCTAAGGAAAAATGTATTTACTATTCTCTTGGCCTGTGTTCTGGTCTGTGAGTAACCACAATCTTTCTTTTCCACCCTGGAACTGTGGTGAGGGTCCCTATTTCCCTGTGGCTGAAAGTTTTGGTGTTCTAGAGCTCCTCCTTGTCCTCAAACTGCAACGCAGATTCACATGTGGGCAATGCAACAGAGTATTGCCCTCAGTGTCAACAAAGGGTTCCATGTAATCTTGTTCTGACCAGTTGTCTGAGTCCCTTACCATCTGTGGACTGAGAGCTCCAGAAGCTGCTACTGCCAATTCAGTTGCCCCCAAGACCTGTTGCTGGCCTGACAAGGCATGACCTGCTGTCTTGATGGCTCACAGCATAGCACCTAGCCTCAAGGAACCTTACTAAGAGAATATAATAGAGTCACACATAAGTAAATATGGAATACACAGAATACACACAGTGAAAGGGGGTCACTAAAGATTGAGGCAATCACAAGAAGCCCCTTGAACAGTATGGCTCTTGAGGTAAACCTTGGTAAGAGTTAGAATAAAGATAAAGAACATTCCATGTATAAAGTCAGCCTATGCAAGGATAATTAGGTGGAAAATGGAGCCTTTCAGTGTTCTTCATTCACCTAGGTCACTTTCCTGTCTTTATAGTGTGTATATGTCAACAGCAAAGACTAATTGCTTGGTGGTATTTTTCAGCTATTTTTGGAAAGCCTCCATCACCCTGCATACAGGAACAATAAGCAGATCAGTTTGGGTAGAGAGTAGAGAGTGAATAGGTTATAAGTGTATAATCAGCCTAGCAAGTCATAATTAGCTAGGATGTGACTCCTAACTGGAGTTATATTGTGGAAGGCTTTAAATTCCACAGAAAGATTTCTTTTTTTTTATTATTAAAGCAATGAGGAGCCACTAAATTTTCTTGAGAAAACATTTGACATAGTCATATCTGTGTTTTAGAAATACAAATTGGCTGTTTGAAGGATGGATGTAAATTCGAATACTGTTTTATTAGTCCAGGTACCTAGACTAAATGGTGCCTAAAATGGACTTTTGTGGTGATGTTGTGAGTAAAGAGAAGGGAATGTATGCAAGAGACACTGAGGGGGTAGAACAAACAAGACTCAGCAGCTGATTAGATAGGGGGATCACTGAGAATGAAGGGTTAAGAATATTTCCTTAGTTGTGAAAGTGGATGAACTCTTGACAAAAATAGGAATATTAGAATTATAGGTGAGTGTTAAGGAAAAAGATGAGCTCTATTTTGGACTCACTGACTTTGATAAACCTATGAAACATCCTGATGGAGATGTTCAGAAGACTGTTATAGGATTGAAGCTCATGGAAGTGATGAGAGATGTTCATGCACATTTGGTCACCTTCTATATAAAGATGAGAGTTGAATCCATGGGAACTGATGAAAGCACAAGGTCAAAGTAGAGAGAGAATAAGAGAGAACCCTGGGTTACATCCATACATGGGAGATGGTGGATGATAAATTGATAAACTATATCATGTAGGAAGACCCATAATAGAACAATGCCATGGAAACCCAGGGAAGAGAGAGTATGCAGAAAGAAAGGATGGTCAGCTGTGTCATATGCTACAGAAAAGTCAAGACAGAGAAGAAGTGAGAAAAGGCTTCTGTATCTAGGAATAAAGAAAGCAAAGGTAACTTAGAGCAGTTTAAATGGTGGGCACAGAAGCCAGCTTACAAAGGGGTCAAGAGGTGAGAAAGTTTAAGCAATAAATATAGACATCTGTTTCTAGGAGTTAGAACATGAAGAGGAGGAGAATTACAGGACAAGACCTTAAAGGGATAGTTGGGTCATGTGAAGCTGTTCCAGATAGGTAAAATTTGCTTGTAGAAAGCAAGAAAGGAACTGGTGGATAAAAAAGGTTAAAATTAGAGAGTTGGGGGAACAATAAAATGGGCAAAATGCCAGAGAAGAAGGGAGAAGTGGTGCTCAGGGCACAAGCAGAGTAGTTGGCATTGGCAAGGAGATCTATCATTCTGTGAGACTGAGGCAAGAGAAGTGAATGGACGATGATGATGAAGTGAATTAAAGGGTGAAATTAATGGGATGAGGGAGCTCAGACAGATAGCCTCAGTTTTTTTTTTCTATAAAGTATGGATGCAGTCCTCTGCTGAGAAGGTGTATGGAGGTAGGGCACAGGTGACTTGAGAATAGAGGGTTTGGAACAGCCACTGTGAGGAAAACTAGAGTTGGTGAAGAAGGAGTAAAAACTGTCATGTGAATGCCCACATAAGATTAGAGAAAAGGGTTGTTGTGTGGCTCAAATAAGATACTTCATAAACATTAAAGTGATGTGAGAATGTCAGTTATTACTAAGGAACCTCAGACTTCTTTGGTGCTTTTCTATTCACCTGCCCCAACCAATTTTTCAAATCTGGACAATTGTTTTCTGTTTCTGTTTTCCTATAAACTGCAAAGATCAAACACATCTGCAGGAAAGGAATAAAGATAGTTTCCTCTGCCTTCTGAGTATACTTAATTATAAATTGTCCTTAGTTCCTTTTCACTTGACTCCAACCTCCCATAGAGAACAATTTTGTCCACAGTTGTAGATTGCCACTTGAAGCTTAATGGGACTGTGATTATTCGGGGAGTTTGCTTCTGTCATTTAGAGATTCTTAATTAGGTGTTTGACAATACACTAAAGGTCATCACTGATGTCTGAACTCAGTCTCTTAGGTACCATGTGAAAATTGGAAGCCTCCTTTCAGATAAGGAGTGCTTGAATTCATCTCTGCTACCATGTACCCCAGTCAATACAGCCTTATTAATGAAGATACAGTTTCACCCATGAAGTGTTCATTACAGCAGAGTCCAAGGTAAATTGTCACTGTCTTCATTTCATTCTAGAATGAAATTCTTGTCCATATTCTCCCCAAATCCGTTTTGATTCAGTTATGAAAAAATTCAAATTAGTAAAGAGAAAGGAATGCATGTAAGAGACACCAAGGAGGCAGAATAGACAAGAATTGTTGACATGAACAGAAAGGAATCCAAGAGTCATTTCTATGGCATTTCAATTCAAAGAACAGGTAAAATTACTGTTACAAAGAAAAATAAAACTTGTTGGTTGAATGGATGAATGAATGAATGAATATATGCATGAATGAACGAATGAATGAATGAATCAATCAATAAATGAAGATACAGGAATCAACAGTTGAGGCTAACATCTGATTTTATCCAAAGCAGTCATGAGTGGATAAGGCTTAAAAATCAAAGAAATCTCAGAAGAAAATGAAAAGAGCCAAGAGAATAATGAAGAGGAAAAAACTAGTGTCACATCTTAGATTCTATATGAGAAAGAATCAGCAGCAGTGTTTTAAATCATTTGTTGTTCAGTTGTTTCAGTTGTGTCTGACTCTTCGTGACCCCATTTGGAATTTTCTTGGCAAAGATATTGGAATAGTTTGCCACTTCCTTTTCCAGTTCATTTGATTGATGAGGAATTGAGGCAGATGGATTAAGTGACTTGCCCAGGGTCACACAGGTAGTAAGTGTCTGAGGCCAGATTTGAACTCATAAAGATGAGTTTTCCCGACTCCAGGTCCAGCACTCTATCCACAGCGATGCCTAGCTGTCAATAGTACTGCTCTGCTACAAGCTAAGTGCTCTTCCTTTTTCTTTTTTCTTTTTAGCTTCAAAATTGTTTTTTAAGTTTATTTTCATTTTTTTAATTATGAACTTTATAAGCAACAAAAAATATGAACATTTCCTAATACAAAAAAAGAACAGAAAAGGGAAATTGTATATGACATTGTGACTGTTGTATATAGCTTGTTTTAAAAATAAATATTCATTTTTTACACAATAGTTCTAATACTACTGTCTCCTGAAGTTTTGTTTTCTACCATGCATTTTTAAATGTTTCATAGGTGCTTTTCCCCTTCTTTATTTTTTGACATTATTACCACTATGCCCTAACTATCACAATAATTCTCCATGACTTCAAAATAACAAAAACTCACCCTTTAAAAAAATAAATGCAGTCAATCAAAACAAATCACATATTGTTCCTTTCTGAAAATGCCCAACTTAAAACATATTCAATTTTTTCTAGAAGTTTTTCTGAGTCTTTTCCTTAGTAGATGCAATTCTTGGGTTTATGAAATGTGGTAACGTTTGATTACTTCTGGTATCATACACACATTTTGTTCCTTTGACCAACTCTTCTATTTTTAAACAAGTGCCAAATAGTTTCAATGATTACTTCATCTAATTTGAGATCCTGTGCTTATAGGCCCCTTCCTTACCCCTTTTTTTCATTATTTTTCTTGAGATTATTCACCCTTTATTTCTCCAAATGAGTTTAGTTAGTATTGTGTTTAGTTGTATAAAATAACCTTTTGGTACTTTGATTGGTATAGCACTGAACTTATCAAATAATATAGGTAGTATTTTAATTTTATGATATTAGTACATTCCAGTCATAAACAATTAATATCTCTCTATTTACAACTGTATTTTTTTCTGCAAAAACTTTTCTGTAGCTATATTTATATAATTCCAGTGTGGGTCTTTTTAGGTAGATTCCTAGATATTTTATATATTCTATGGTCATTGTGGAAGAAATTTTTTCCTACCTCTTTCGTATTTGCTGCTGGGTTGTTTTGGTAGCATACAAAGAAACTGATGGCTTGTGTGTGTTTATTTTAAATCCTCATATCTTACTAAAGTTATTAATTGCTTCAATTAATTTTAATTGAATACCTAGGGTTCACCAAATAATACATCATATCATCTGTAAAACATGATCATTGTATTTCCTCTTTATTTATGATTATTCCCTCGATTTCTTTCTCTTATATTGTTATAGCTAGCATTTCCAGAACTATATCAAATATAACGATGACAATGGGCATTTTTCCTTTACCCTAGATGTCATTTGAAAACCGTGTGTATGCTGGAAAATGTTTAAAAAACCATCTCTCTGAAACAAATGAACAAAAAAAGTACATGCCATGCCTTTAAGTTTAATCTTTACTATTAACATTTTCTTCATCACTTTCTTAACTATAGGAAATCAAACACAGGCTTTGCTAATTCCCAAAATATAAATACTAATTTCAAAAATTTAACAATTAGCTTTAACAAGTCAGTATGAGCTGACTCTAGCATACCACTACCTATAGCATTTGCTCATTACAGATCATATTAGCACTCCATGTTAAATAGATACTGTTTATAATGTCAATTATTTTATTAGTCTGTATATTTTATGTTTTGCAAATATTAATCCATTTCATTTTCCATTTTTCTTGGCATATAAATAGACAAAACAGTTTCTGAAAATGTCCTCAAAGAAAATGACAAAAATGAGATCACATACCAAAACTTTTATTTCCTCTTAATTTCTTGTGAGTTCTCTTCTTTGGTTTTATCCCAGAAGTTTCAGAATGTTATCATATTGTCATTTTTCTTTGATGAGATTATCATTGTTTATATGATTTGTTCTTAGATCTATCAATTATTTAGTATTAAATCAGTTAATATTTAAATTTTGGATTCTTCTTGTCATTGAATGCCCTTGACCAATTATAATTTTTATTGTTGTGGCTTGCAAAGGATAAAATCAATATTTTTGTCCTTCTGAATTTGTTTGAGGTTTTTAGACCCTAGCACATAGTTAATTTTTATAAAAGTACCATCATGCACAGTAGATGATAGATAAATAGACATGCGGACAGATGGATGATATAATATATAGATATGTATATTCCTTTCTATTCCCAGTCAGTAGTCACCAGAGAGGTTTTGTATTTTCTAAAAATGCTTTTCATGTAGCTTAACTTCTTTCTTATTTATCTTTTTTGTTAAATTTTTCTAGTTCTGAAAGGGGCATGCTGAGGTCCCCAGTTATTCAAGTTTTGCTTTTTCTTTTTGTAATTCAATTAGCTTTTCTTTTTAAGTACTTAGGTGCTATACCATTCAGTGAATATACATGTGTGTGTGTGTGTGTGTGTGAGAGAGAGAGAGAGATTACTTCCTTATGACAATATCTTATAGTACAATGTAATTTCCCAGCTTATCTCTTGTATCTATATCTATTTTTACTATTGTCTTGTCTGAGTTTTTTTTCTTTAAAGTCACTTGAGGCACAATAAATTTTGCCCTAGCCTCTCATTGCACATCTGTGAATCTATGTGAATCAAAAAAAGTTGAATTCTGCTTTCTAACCCATACTGCTCCTCTCTATTTTATGGGTGAGTTCATGCTATTTATGTTCACAATTGCGATTATCAATTCCATATGTCTCTTCATCATATGAATCTATAACTGAAATAAACAGTGTGTTCCTATACCTCTGCCCCTCCTCTCTCCACTCAAGCCTCAATCTCTGACTCTTGTACGTTCTTTATTTTTAGTCCCTCCTTTATAATCCATGCTCTGAAACTGATACTTGTCTATCTTGTTTCTATTCCTTCCATTACTCTGGCCTTCTTAAAATCACCTCTTCCCTCTCCCTGTACTTGCTGTTTCCCTATTATTGTTAGTGGAGTGTAAGGTGTGTTCAGGGAAGACTAGCACCTCTGATGTGAGGGCTGCCAAGCCTTTTTCAGGGCTGCTTTCCACCTTTGGTGTCCATCTGATTCACCCAACTCTCAACCTGTGGCTTCAAGAAGCTGTAGCATATGCAACAGTGATATCCCAGGAAAACTTTTTGGCAAATGGGCTAAACCAGGTTGAGAGTAATTGAGAGGTCTCAAACCCTCCAGTGAGTTAGGGAAGGTGTCTATCCCAAGCACGTGAAGACTTCCCCCAGCAGGATGGACAGATGAGAACAAATTTTATCCTTATTCTATCTATTGTCCTTTTCAAGATATGCACTGGAGTATGTAAATGAAAACTGGAATCCTCAACCACCTTAACCAGAAATGTGGAGATGAATTGTATTGTCTACAGACTATATGGGTTGCTGTTACGTGACAAAGGCAAGCAGTTCTGAGCCTTAGTCACCTAGCTGCTCCTCCAGGATTAGTGGGTTTAGGGTATGTGGCATGGAGAGAGAAAATGAATGAGAAAGAGGGTCTCCTGGGCCTTAGCCCACTGACATCTTCTCTGGTCTGAGAGGAGGTCAGGGAGCAGAAAACAGCATAAATCCTTCTGTGTTCTCTTTGAGTTGGGTGAAATAAGGGTCAAAGAGTAGAAGAGAAAGTATATAGCCCCCTCAATGGCTACTCCAGTCCCTCCCCTAAGATTTCATTGCATTTGCTCAAGGCAGTACACAAAAATTTGGATCTGGGCTCTCACTCAATGCCAAGGAATCCCATAAGGTAGCAGCTGCTCTAAGAGGAAAATATTTTCACTGAAGAGATGATTGTAGATAACTTTCCATGCTGATCAGGGTTTTTGTTTTTGTAATTTCTTTCTTTCTAACTTAAGAGGAAGCATGGTATGGAGGCCAAACTGGAAGTCCAGTCAGGAAATGTGGGTTCAAAATTTGCCCTAGACACTTACTTGCTGTATGACTCTGGGCAGTTCAATAAAGTCTTAGTTTCCTCATCCATAAAATGTAGATGATAATACCTGTGTACTTACCTCTCATGGAATTTTGGTGGGAATCAAATGAAATAACATATGTAAAGTGTTACATTAGTGTCAATTATTATTATCATCATCATCATCATCATCATCATCATTATTATTATTAGCCCTCATCTGAGTGAAGAAAACAGTCTGGAAGATAAGCTACTCCTGAGTCATTTGAAACACTTGGAGCAGCTCTTTACAGCCCCAAATGAGGAAGACATAGAACCAGAAGAGTGGAATCCTGGTTACAAGATGCTCCCAAAAAAGAACACATCATATCCCTCAGGAAGTTTGACTCTCCAGCAGTTCAAGAACGCTTTGACTGAACTTCTGGGTTCAGAGTACTGGAATGGCCAAACCGAGTTACTTTTCAACAAGGTACTCTTTTTCAGCCTTTAAAATTATGATCGTCGGGTATTTAGGTGGCGCAGTGGATACAGCACCAGCCCTGCATTCAAGAGGACCTGAGTTGAAATCTGGCCTCAGACACATGATACTCACTAGTTGTGTGACCTTGGGTGAGTCACTTAACTCCAATTGCCTCACCAAATAAATAAATAATAAAATCATCACCATTGATTGGCACTCCTTCCAGTGAAGAATTGAGCATTTGCTCAAAATGGGGGAAGGGAAAAAATTCCTCTGTATTTTGCATTTTTCTGGGAGGAGAAATGGAGCAGTAGCCCCTGGAAATTGTGGCCCAGGTTACCCTGAGAATATGATCTGCCCTACATGCAAGTTCCCATTTTCTTTCTTTCTTTTTATTTTTTGGCTAGGCAATGGGGTTAAGTGACTTGCCAGGGTCACACAGCTACTGTGTCAAGTGTCTGAGGCCACATTTGAACTCAGGTCCTCCCGATTCCAGGACTGGTGCTCTATCCACTGTGCCACCTAGCTGCCCCAAGTGCCCAATTTCTTCCCCCAACCCCTTTCCCTTCTTTTCTCCCACCACTGTTGCTCTTATTTAGTGTTTGGTGACCTGGAGACTGGATCCAGGCCTATACCTAAGCAGCCACAGGTTCTGACTCCAATGACTGTCACCTGGGTTATCAATAAATTCTATAGACAACAGAGCATGCAGTGATCTACCTTCCTAACTCCTACCCTTGTCCTGTTTTAAATCTTTGCTCTGTAATGGACTTGGCTAGACTCAAATCTAAAAAGTATCTCAGCCATGAAATAAAATATTCCTCTCCAGGGGGCCCCTGGGTCTTAGGAACTCTAGGAAAATATTTGACCTTTTGGGGGTATTTCATCATATCACCCATATACATAAGTGAGCACAAAATGACTATAGATATTTTGATTGTGCATTAAGTGTGTGTGTTTTCTTGTTTCTAAAGATTCACACGGCCCATGACAATATTGTGGACTGGAGTGAGTTCTGTACACATTTGCTACTCCAATACAGAAAGAGAGATGATTCAGAAAAATCCAAGGACATTTTCTTTCAGGGGAAGCCCTTGATCCGACAATGTTCACAGAACCGGGTGAGCATGAAGCTGCATTAACAGGCCAAAGGTTAAGCTAGCTACTCAAGGCCTACCAGTGGAAGATGGGGTCCCGTAGGATTAGGAATGGGAGACAATTAAGTTTATTGCCAATACTCTGGGCTGGGTTGGAGGGGGGGATTGTTAGGCAACAGAAAAGAATGTTCAGCCCCTCTTCCGGCTTCCTCCAAGCTGTTTGGGAGTGGTTCTAGTTAACTAGAACATTTGGGGAACTGGCTATTCTAGTCAAACAAAGTTTTCCTTAACTTGCCCTTTGTAGGATATAGGGATTTGGAATGTCTACACAGGGCAAGTAATTGGCAATGTCTCAATACAATTTGGAAGTCTTGTAAAAAGACAGTTTTAACTGAAAACTTTAGCTAAGCAGAATACACCTAGAAGAAGAAAAACTTTTCTCAAGGAGTAGTTTACCAGAAAGAACCCTAGACTGAGTTTAAAGGCCTGGATGGCATCTGTCCTTAACTTAATGTGTCACCTTGAACAAGTCATTTAACCTCTTCAGGCCCAGGTTTCTTCATCCACAAAATGATTAGATAAGATAGATGATCTCTAAGATAATAATAATAGCTAACACATATAATACCTACTATGTGCCAGGTACTGTGCTAAGCTCTTTACAAACTTCATCTCATGGGATCCTCACAACCACTCTGTGAGGTAGGTGCTACTTTTATCCGCAGTTGAGAAAACTGAAGCAAAAAGAGGTTGTGACTTACCTAAGGTCACACAGCTAGTACATTTCTGAGAGTAGATTTGAATTCAGGTCATCCTGATTCCAGGCCTGGAGCTCTATCACTGTACACAGCTAAATAGCAAAAAGATTCAGAAATCCTCGAGAAAACAAAAATAAAACAAAATATTAAAGCAACTGAAAAACATTCAATATAATTGATGACAAAATTGCATGATATATATCTTAACTAGGAGAGTAACCTATACAGTCTGAAATATCTTTTCGCTTGAAACAGGGGAGTTTAACTGGGGTGCATGAATTTTTCAAAAAATGTTTTGATAATTGTATTTAGATATACTTGTTCTTTCCTTTAATTCTATGTGTTTTATTTTATTCACTTAAAAACATTATTCTGAACAGGGTTCTATACGTTTCACCTTCACATAGGGCAAATAATTGGCAATGTCAATACTAGAATCATGCTAGAGGGGTCTATGACACAAAAAAGGTTAAGAGCCCCTGTTTAAAGATCAGAAAGGTAGAGAGCCTCAGAAGTTATTGGAAAATTAGAAGCTTAATATGTTAAGAATGTAGTATAGTAGGAAGCTTGTTGTCTCTAGAATCAGAGGACCTGAATTCAAATCTCACTTCTACTACGTACTGTCTACATGACCTTAAGTAAGTTACTTAACCTCTCCCTGGGCAACCCTTTCCTCATCTGTAAAATGATTTGGCCTTTAAGGTCCCTAATAAATCTAGAACCATGATCCCATAACACTACATTCTATAAGCTCTAGACTCCTAATAAGAAACATTTTTATACTTCTTTGTAGGATTCCAGCTAAACTATAGGTTGGACTTTGTAGAAAACTGGATTTGAAGCCAGCCATTTGGGGAGTCAAAAGACTATATAATAAATATATCAGACATCTGGTTGAAGGGGTTATGGCATTTTCTCAAAGGCTTGCTTCTGTTTTAATGGAATCCTGGGTGAGAAGACTGAGGGAAAAGGAGTGAAAGGGCAGGGGGAAGGAGAAAAGAGGCAGGAGAAATGTTTTAGTGTCACTGTCCTCCATCCCCAGGAGTTCTCAACCGGTCATTATTTACATTGAAGTGTTAAGTGACAATTAGGTGTTGTCTGTCTAACATGCTGGGGCTTTCTTCCAGAGATCCCAATCCATAAAGCATCACTGGAAGAAAATTGAAGTTTAAATATGTCCCTTTGTTTCTTGGAAAAGCTTCAAGTCACTAAATGCCAGTCTTCAATAAGCATTCACCAAATACCTACTAGGTGTTAGACATTTGGGGATACAAATAAAGTTTTTAAAAATAGTCCCTATTCTCAAGATATAATGGGGGAAACAACAAAAAAACTTACTATATACAAACAAATTATATGCATAAATTGAATAAATTGTGCACAATTGAATATGGATAAATTGAAGATAATCTCAGAAGAAAGACATTAAGATTAGGGAGAACCTAGCCTTATGAGATCTCAAACTGTATTACAAAGAGGTAATCATCAAAACAATCTGGTACTGGCTAAGAAATAGAATGGTGGATCAGTGGAATAGGTTGGGTATATAATACAAGGTAATGATCATAGTAATCTAGTGTGTGATAAATGCAAAGGTCTCAGTTTTTGGAACAAGAACTTACTTTTTGACAAAAACTGCTGGGAAAAACTGGAAAGCAGTATAGCAGAAACTAGGTATAGACAAACATCTCACACTGTATACCAAGATAAGGTCAAAGTGAGTATTTGATTTAGACATAAAGGTGATACCATAAGCAAATCAGGGAATCATGAAATAGTTTATCTGTCAGATCTATGGATAAGGGAAGAATTGATGACCAAACAAGAGATAGAAAGTATTATGGAATGTAAAATGGATAATTTTGATTACATTAAATTAAAAAGATTTTGCACAAACAAAACTAGTGCAACCAAGATTAAAAGGAAAGCAGAAAACCGGGGGAAATTTTTATAGAAAGTTTCTCTGATAAAGACCTCATTTCTCAAATATATGTATAGAGAACTGAGTCAAACATATATAAGTATGAGTCATTCCACAGTTGATTAATGGTCAAAGGATATGAACAGGCAGGTTTTAGATGAAGTAATCAAAACTATAGTCACTTGAAAAAATGCTCTAGATCACTATTGATTAGAGGAATGCAAATTAAAACAGCTCTGAGGTACCATTCAATACCTACCAAATTGGCTAATATGACAAAAAAGGAAAATGACAAATGTTGGAGGGGATGTGGGAAAATTGGGACAATAAAGCACTGTTGGTAGAGTTGTAACTGATTCAACCAATCTGAGAGCAATTTGGAACTATATCCAAAAGCCAATAAAACTGTGCAGACCCTTTGACCCTGCAATACCACTACTAGGTCTGTATCCCAAAGAAATATAAAACAAAAAGGAAAAGGACTTATATGTACAAAAATATTTATAACAGCTCTTTTTGTGATGGTGAAGAATTGAGGAGATTCCCATCAATTGGGGAATTGCTGAACAAGTTGTGATATATGATTGTGATGAAATACTATTCTGCTATAAAAAATGTTGAGCAGTATGTTCTCATAAAAATCTAGAAAAACTTACATGAACAGTTGCAAAATGAAGTGAGCAAAACAGGAGAACATTGTACATAATAACAGCAATTTTATGCAATGATAAACCGTGAATAACTTACCTATTCTCAACAATACAGAGATCCAAGACAACTCTAAAGAACTTAAGATGAAAAATACTATCTGCCCCCAGAGAAAGAACTGCTGGAGTCTGGATGCAGATTGAAGCATATTTTTTTAACTTTGCTCTTTTCATGTTTTTTTTTTGGTCTGTGTTTTCTTTCACAACATAACTAATATGGAAATATGTTTTTTTATGACTGCACATGTATAACCTATACAAAATTGATAGTTTTCTCAATAAGAGGGGAGGAGAGGGAGAAAGGGAAAGAATTAGAACTCAAAATTAAAAAAAAACAAATGTTAAAAATTGTTTTTACATGTAATTGGAAAAAATAAAATATTTCTAAAAGAATGTTAAGGAGAGCTGGAGAAGGCTTTTTGCAGAAAGTTGGACTTTAACTGAGACTTGAAGGAAGTCAGGAGGTGGAGATGAGGAGGGAGAGAGTTCCAGGCATGAGAGGCAGTCAGTGAAAGTAATGCCCAGTCAGAAAATGGAGTATAGTGTGCAAGGAATAGCAAAAAGGTATGGTTCCCCAAGTGCAATACAGACTATCTCCTGTTTGATTCTAAGCCTGCTTCATTGTCTTCCTACAGTGTCTATAAAAGACATGTACTAATAGACCAGTTCTATGGGCTGTCCATCTAAATGCATATTTAAGCATTCTTCATTTGTATATTTTTTGTTTGTTTTTTTCCTGTGTGGATAGTTTGACTAGATGCTAATTAAGTAGAAGACTTCTTAAAAGTTGTATTTCTCCATATTTTACTCTTAACTTGTATTGGTAACTAATGGCAAGTTAATATTTGTGCTTGTTATTTAACAGATTTGTTGAGAATGGTTTGCCATTTCCTTCTCCAGCTCATTTTACAGATGAGGAAACTGAGGCAAAAAGGGCTAAATGACTTGCTCAGGGTCACATAGCTAATAAGTATCTGAGACAGGGGCAGTTAGGTGGCACAATGGATAGAGCACTAGTTCTGGAGTCAGGAGGACCTGAGTTCACATCTAGGCCTCAAACATTTACTAGCTGTGTGACCCTGGGTAAGTCACTTGACCCTGATTGCTTCCCCCCTACCCTAAAATAAATAAATAAGTATCTGAAAGCAGATGTGAACTCAGGTACTCCAGACTCTAAGGCTAGCACTCTATTCACTGTACCACCTAGCTGCCCAATAGATTAATTTTTTTAAAAAAGTATAATTGGCAGGAATACTTTATATTTTCTTTATCTTAGTAATTTTACCCTGAGGCAATGGCATGTCTAGACCATAGTTCTATGCAGCCATAATCCAAATATCATAACTCTCATGGGGACAGCTCCTTCAACTGAAAATAGCTTCTGGAGCATTATCCTTAAGATATCAGTTCTGGTATCTCAGAAAAGTCACAATAATCATAACATCCTAGTCATAGAACAGACCTTAATCTTATAATTCTGCCTCACCTTCACTGGTAGTATCACATTTCAAGGCAGCATTGGATAATTTCAGCGATACATAGAACTCTTTGCATGGAAACTCTCTGCTGACCTAGACTGGCCACATCTCTGTAATTCATCATCTTAGATAGTTGCCTGAGAGGTTAAGTGACTGCCTTTTCCATGGTTACACACCTAGTATATGTCAGGGGCAGAACTTGAACCAGATCTCTATGACTCCAAGATCAGTCCTCTGTTTTGGGGGGGGGGGGGTTTTGAGGCATTTAGAGTTAAATGACTTACCCAGGGTCACACAGCTAGCAAAAAGTCAAGTCCTCCTGACTTCAGAGCTGGTGCTCTATCCATTGCACCACCTACCTTTACCATTTCACTACATTGCCTCTCTTAACAAACCACTTTTTTTAAAAAAGAAAAATGACCTAAAAGATATGGTCTAAAATAACCAGGTATGGTTTTAAACCATATCTGGTTATTGGCATAGTGAATTCCCCTGCAGGAAACTCTCCACTACTGTCAATGGGGATATGGTCTGCAATTTGAAGCTTTCACAAATTGCCTAGGGTACTGAAAGATTAAAGTAATGCCCAAGGTCACAAAGCCAGTAGATGTCAGAGGTGGAGACTTGAACCCATGCCTTCCTGACTCAAGACCAGCTTTTTGACCCTGCTGTCTTGCTGTTCTTAAATACCACATAACAGTAACTAACTAAATAGTATTATATTTGATTTAACCTCTTCAAATAAATAGTATATAAGACAATAAATCCTGAAGTAACCTTAAAAGTTGTTGTAAACAACTTCACCACATGAAAGGACTGACCTATAGATTAGTTCCACAGAAAACACATGATCCCCTCTTAGTATGATCCTGTTCTCTTCCCTTTTTCTCAGCAAGAGCCAACCACTCGGATCTTGGCCATCTTTTCTCCTTCTACTTCACACTCATTTGTGACTGTCAGCAAAGGAGGAATTCTCAGTTTCTGGGACAATAACCTGAAGCTCCAGAAGACATATGAGGTGATGATCCCAGTGTGAGAGCTACAAGGGTACAAAATCTCTAGGTTATACATTCCAAGAGGGGATTTCTGGTGCCTGCTTGTAGCAAAAGTGTTAAGGGAAATACAAATTTTAAAGAGTTAGTTTTCAGAGGCCAACAGTACGTGCAACTGATAAAGGGTTTGATGACTGTCCTTTCTACTTTTGCTAACTATACTTATATTCAGACATCACAAACATGCACAAACAGTATAAACTCACACACACTGGGAAAGCAGTTCATTTGGTATGAAACGTAATATGAACTAACCCTTTCTATAGTATTGAGAGAAAAAAGAAAGGAATGAGCATTTATTAGTACCTACTATGTGCTAGGCACTATGCTCAGTAGTTTTGATTCTCACAACAGTCCTATGAGGTAGTTACTATTATCCTCATTTTACAATTACAGAAACTTAACTGAGGCAAACAGAAGTTAAGTGACTTATCCAGGGTCACACAGCTAGTGTCTGAGGCCGGATGTGAATTCAGTGCTTCCTAACTCCAGACCCACTGCTCTGTCCTCTGCGCCACCTGACTGGCTAAAACTAAAAGACTAAAACTCTTGTTAGAAGCTAACAATTCTACATCAAAGTTTTTTATCTATTTAGTTTGTATGTTTCAAGGGCCATGATTTGATCTTTAATGTAGCTAAACCTATGTAATATTGAGGCATATTATATCAAAATTCTAGTATATCTGCTACATAAAGAGTTGTTACTTTCCAAGATACATAGCACAGGACCTACTTTCTAAAGATTTCCATCTTTTCACTCCCGAATCTATGATCTTCCTTTTGGTAGAGGGAAAAGGAATTTTGTTCTAAGAGGCATTTTTCCACTTAATGTAAGGAAATGTTTCATAACAATTAGAGCTGTCCAAAAGTGGAATGGGCCTCTTCAGGAGGTATTGGGTTTCACCTTCATCCGAGGTCTTCAAAGTGAGGCTGGTTGACTTCTTCTCAAGGATGCTCATGAAGGGTGGGAGGGGCTTCTTAGCAAGATGCAGATTGGATTAGCAAGCCCATGAATTCAGTCCCAGCACTGACATTCTGTAGGTCTGAATCAACTGCATTGGATGATGGACTCTGGTCCTGGAATTGCTTCTGAGCAGCTCAGGGTGGCACCAGAGCCCCACTTTTGAGATCTCTGTTTCCTAGCCTTGTTTCCTAACAGATGTCAGCAGATGTTGTTGAGGCTCCAACAGGAAAGAAGAAGATTAAAGTTTGGACAACAGATGCTGTCTACATGCCTAATGTTCATAAAATTGCCGTTGCTACAACCAGCAGAAAAATGTACTTTTTTGAGGTGTCTCTGGGCCCCATCTTTGAAGATTTCCATCTATTTGGTAGGATTTAACACCCTGAACAGCCTACATTTACAATAGCTTATGTTTATTTAATGGTCTAAAGTTCATAGTGCAATACCCTTGCAAGGTAAATATCAGAAATTTATGTAGGGATATGGATTTTAAAGCGAGAAATAACTTTACAGGTCATTGAGTTCAACTTCATTTTAAAGAAGAAAAAAATGAGGCCAAGAGAGCTCAGGTATCTTGTTCATATTCACACAGGGAATAAATGGTAGAAATAATATTCAACCTTAATCTTCTGACTGTTAATCTTTATTAGTCCCATTTTGGAAATAAGAAAACTGAGGCTCAAAGAACTTGCATATAATCACATGGCCAGTAAGTGAGAGAGCTGGAATACAAACCCAAGTTTTCTGACAAATAATTGTTTGCCACACAATCCAAAGAATGAGTTTATTACAGACAAATTGGAAAGAACACCATTCTCATTGAAGATGGCCTGACAAATTGTTGGTTTTTACTTATAAGTCTGATTATCTTTCCACTTTTTTTAGCTATGTACCCTTGAGTAAATCATTTAACTTCTGTCTACTTCAGTTTCTTCATCTGTAAAATGGGAATAATTATAATACTTAACTCCCAGGATTGTTGTGAGATTAAAATAAGGCAATATTTGTAAAGTACTTTGCAAACTTTAAAGGTCTATGTAAATAGTATGTATTATGTATTTGGACAGCTAGATGGCATAGTGGATAGAGCTCCTGGCCTGGAATCAGGAAGATCTGAGTTCAAATTCACCCTCAGACACTTACTACTTGTGTGACCCTGGGCAAGTCACTTAACCATGTTTGCCTCAATTTCTTCACCTGTAAAACAAACTGGAGAAGGAAATGGCAAACCACTGCAGCATCTTTGCCAGGAAAACTCCAAATGGGGTCACATAGAGTCAAACACAATTAAACAAAAACAAATTGTTTCTTTGTTTATTTTAAGCATTAATGGGATCCTGATTTAAGTCAACCTCCCTACCCCATTATTACAAATATATGTCTATATCTTGGTACTGGTACAAAGTTCATTGCTTGCCCTATTCCCCAAGGGTCTGACTGTTGTTCTATAATTGTCCTGGAATAGTGTCTTCCTATTTCCCATTTAAGAGGACTGAGTGAACCTCTCTGAGAATGATGGTTGTAAAGGATCTATTCAGTATCTAGGCAGTAGCCACAGAATGAAAAGAGGTATAGATAGGTCACAATCTGCTCCAGTGGAGAGAAGACCTCCAACAGTGAGATCATGGATCCACTCAAGTATAGAAGTACCTTCTTCAAAACAGAGTACTTGTAGCTTTAACCAACAGAAGATGGTACTGCCCATTACCTGAGCCTGTTCAACATAAGGACCTGGTAATGCCATTCTCACTTCAATGTTTGAAAAAAACAAAAACGTAAAGTTCCTCTGGCTTTCAAAGCACTAGCTACTCATATTCTCTTAGCTCCATCTCTTTCCTTGCGGGCAGCATTTGTCTAGGAGCAAGATATATATGGACTTATCCAATTAGAAGCTTGCAGTTTGTGATGCCCCCAGCCTCCAAGAGACTATACCTTTTTCCCCTTCACTGTTGCATTTTAGTAGAGTTGATCACAACAGTAAGGCTTAAGGGAGTCAATCACATAAGCTTGTATTTGTTTATTCATATCACTAATTAATGTTAGCAAGTAATAAGCATTCAAGAGTAACTGTGGCTGGGAAATATATTTCTCTGAAGCCAACCTGATGACAAGATTCTCTTAACGAGGCCAGTCCTTTGATTACTGTTGCCAAACTTATATCTGAAGCCTTTCTAATTTATTAATATATGCCAGGGCTTACACCCCACTGTTGTAGTCATTGAGAAGAATACCATGATGTTGCATTGGAAGAATACTTTACTGAAGAATCATCTATTTCATTAGATGGGAGAAAGTGATCTAGGCTTGATATTATGAGAAAATATTTGGACTAGGAGGCAAAAAATGAGTTCTAGTCTTGGCTCTGGTGCTAATTCACTCTGTGGCCTTGGGTAAGTCACTTCATCTCTGAGTCTCAGTTTCCCCATCTCTAAAAGTAGGGGTTAACTATGGTGACTATTCTATGACCTTTCTTAGTCAAAGCTATCCAGTTGCCCAATATTAGACCTTTTTGTCCAGTGTGGTAACTTCCAGCCTATACTACTTTTTCCCTCCATGCACAGTGTTATCTATGTAAAGAGGTCATTTGTTTTTGACTTTTAACCTTAATCAATACATGTGTAGGTGTATAATTGCAAATATATATAATATGTACATGTGTGTATGTGTATGTGTATGTATATGTATATATAGACACTTGTTTCTTTGTTTCTACAGCCCTGAACTACATTCCAACATCAGTATTTTACTGGTATAATACAGAAGTAAGTATGAGAAATATCTGCTATATAAACTGGGTTAGAATGTAACCATGTTACATGATCTTATACGGTAGTATCCATGTTTTAATATGAAAATATTTACTTCAAAATTTATCTGAAGCTTTCAGGGTTATCTTCTGGGGGAAAAAATATTCAGAGCTAAAACAGAAAGTTAAGAGTTGACCTGTGCATGGCAGGTTCCTTGAATCTGTAATTAATGAAATCTGGATTGAAATCCCATCTTTCATTTGCTCAGAATGGTATACAAATCTATTTTAACAATTATAACCTTAAAGATATGTGATAGTCAAATAACCAGGTTCTTCTTCAACTTGGAAACCAGGCCAAGAGAGGTTAAGTTACTTGCCTGGAGTCATGCACTAATAAATCTCTGATGTAGTGAAGGTCCCTGCCAATGATCAAGTGGTGAATGAGCAAAGCAGGGGAGAGGTCTCAGGTCCTGAGTTCCCCAAATGATGCAGTTACTGACCCTCTGAGAAGTTTGACCATAGTAAGAATAACCTTGGGGGATACCTGCTATCTCCTGGTGGAAGCAGCTGAGAGAATGATTTTAATCCAAACATGAATTTTATTCCTTGAACTCCTGGATTTTCTTTGGGAGTTGCCTACATGAAAATGTTGAAACCAAACTCAATTTCTGTTCCTGGCTTGGCCTGCCTATAGACCAATGAAGTGTTGGGTTATTGGATCTGAGCCTAGTACAGGCATTATGCCTAGAGGGCAGTTGTTTTTAAATGCATTTAGTTTATTTCTTTTACCATTGAAAAATGCTTCTCATAGCCTCTGGGAGTATGATAAAACCTATTCTGCCAATTTCTTTCTTTGTCTCTCCACGAAGTACCTGTTAGTCATCCTTCCCTTTAATTGCTACTCCCTTCTTTCTTCTCCTTTTACAAGAATATTCGTCAAGATTATAATGATTCAGCTTCTCCAGAAATAAGCCCACTCATTGGTTGCTAGACAAGCACCCCACATTTAGAGTATTAATAATCAAATTGCCTTGATTTATAGAGGACCTAAAAAAGTGCATGAATCTTAGGACCATCTGACCCTTTTGCAAAATCCTGCTCTAGTGCCTCAAATGGTGTAGAGGTGACACTAGGGTCTCATTAGCTATGCCAGTGGCACATAGGGTCTGGCAGGTTCTACCATGCTGGAAAGCTTTGAGAACAATCCCAGAAACAGACCAGATCTGTTAACTAAGTTGGACAGTCTCATTACCAGTAGTATGGTGACATAGAGATGGATTATTTGGCCATAGCAGTCCCTAAAATAAAGAAGAATACAAAGTGGACCTTAGTTCTGTGTACCCCCCCCCGTGACAATGGAAAAGAGGGGGGCAGGTAGAGACTTCTAAACTATATGGACTGAAGAACTCTCAAAATATAGAGAACAAGAATAAATCAAAACCACATGGGAATAAAATGAGGCATATTCCATATTCCTTATGCCCTGTCTACTGATGGAATTGTCACAGAAGCTACATTTTTTTTTTACTCACATCAGCATAAGGAGCTCCCAGTGAAGAACTTCCTCTATCAATGCAGATAGTACCTTCTTCGAAACTTACAGTCTTAGAGTGGGCAGCTAGGTGGTAGCTAGGTGGCACAGTGGATAGAGCACTGACCCTGGAGTCAAGAGGACCTGAGTTCAAATCTGAACTCAGACACATAACACTCACTAGCTGTGTGACTCTGGGCAAGTCACTTAACCCCAATTGCCCCATACACCAAAAAAAAGAAAGAAAGAAAGAAACTTACAGTCTTAGAAAATTGCCTGAGGAGGCACTGAAAGGTTTAAGAGATTTTGGCCCAAGGCAATTCAGCTAGTACAGATCAGAGTAGGGACTTGAACTCACATCTTTCTGACCCTGGGGTCAACTCTCCACCATGCCATGCTAGTTAACCCCAATATTCTTGTTCAATTACAGAAACCAATAATTTTATCCTCCTGCCAAACATTAAGCCTCTAAGAACAGTAATAGGATGGACTTATCCTAGGACAATTTCCATCTGAACCTCAATGATATCAAATAAAAGATGAGAACAAGAATTAATAATATTACTACTAACAATAATACTTTATACTTACATCATACTTTAAAGTTCACAAAGTTCTTAACATTATTTCATTTGATTCTCACAACAATGCTATGAGGTAAGTGGTATTATTATCTGTATTTAGTAGATGAGCTGTCTGAGGCCAAGGGAGGTTAAGTTACTTGCCTGGAGTCACGCACTAATAAATCTCTGATGTGGGACTTTCTGATTCCAACTACAGCACTTTATTCACTGTACCATGCTACCTCTGAAGCAACTTGCCTGAGGTCACATAAGTAACAAATCCAGTATTTGAACCCAGTCCTTTTATTCCAAATCTAGAGTAATTTCTGCTCCTTATTACCTATGTCACATTTGGTAAATTACTTAAACTTTCAGGTCCTCAGTTTCTTCATCTACAGGATAAGAAGATTGGACCAGATGACCTATGGGGTCCCTTCTAGCTCCGAATTAATGTTCTATAAACTGACTTACCCATAATCACACAGCTAAGTGTTATGGGCAAAATTTGAATCCTGATTCCAGGTCTAACACTATAATGATGCCTCTCAGATGCATGTCCTCTTTAACAGTATGGATTAAATAGACCAGATGTTCTGTCTGCCCATGATGACTTCTGTCCTTTCTTATCTGGTCTAAGCATTCAGAAAACCCTGCAGCCATCAGATTCATGCTATCTGCATTTAGAAGAAATTGTTTCTGAATACAACAGAATTCAAATACCATAGCAAGTTTAGGAATATCTTTGGGGGACATCTTAAAGAGGGAGATAAGCTATCTATCTGGAAGTTTATATACAATCCTGCCCCAGAGTCAGAGAGATGACCTCTTATTCCTCCAAGTACCCTCTAGCCCTATGATCCTGGTTTCTAACACTGGTCTCTTTTCTCTTCCCTCATAGTCTGAAGAGAGCTGTTCTGTACTACTATGGGGTGATGACCATGGAGGAGTGAGTGTGCTCAAATTCCTCCACCCCAACAAAAGCTTATATGAAAAATCCTTATTTGAGCAATCTGGGTTCTCTGGCATCTACTTGCAGGTGCGGGAAGTAAAATTGCATGTGTCGTAGAAATAATAATATGCCTCAATTAAAATGTGCAAGGTCAGAGCATAGGATGAAGGGAAAAAGGAAGAGAAAACTCAACCAGCACTCAGGGAGACTTTGAAAGGAGATTGAGGAAGACAAAGCCTTTATTTTGAGTGATATTGGAATCACTAAAGTTAAATCCCATTATAAACGTAACAATGAGAAATTGCCCAATATAAAACTCTACAGGAAATAGCATTAACTAAACCGTGAAATCTAGTGTAGAACAGCTGGCTCGTAACTTTCAAATGTGCATTTGAGAGGAAGCTGCAAAACTAGCTGTGTCCACAACCCATCCATGGAGACTGTCCTTAATACTCTTTCCCAAGAAGACTGGTTTAAGACAACAGCATTAGTTTCTTCCAGTCATCTTAATACACAAAAGGCTGCATGGAGGTCTAATTAGGAGTGGGTGAATAATAATATGTGGAAACAACCCAAACTCATCATGATCACCATAGTGCTCTGCACACATTAAGCACTTAATGTTTGTCATATTAAATTGTTGCATTAACTGAGTCAAACTCAACTCACATTTCTATGATTCTCAAAGGTTTACAAATTGTTTCCCTCAGAGCAACCATATAAGTTAGGTAGTGCAAGTGATTGATGTAGACAGTTCCCAAAGCAGAAACTCTCTTCACCACTGCAAGTCAGCAACTTGTCTGTAAAGTAGTATCATAAAAGTCTTGCCTGAGGCACTGAAATGTTAAGTGATTTGCACATGGTCTCACAGCTTAAGTGTCCCTGACTCCCAAACCAATAATTGTCTCTCTAATACATCATACTGTTTCTCCATATAAGCATTATAATCTTCATTTATGGATGAGGAAATGGAGACTCAAAAGAAATTACTTGCTTAGTCATATAAGTAGTCATTGCTAGGCTGTGACTTACACTGAGGTTCTTCTTTCCATGAAGGCTCAATGTTTCACAAAAAGCGCTTTTCTTACAGCAACACTCTGTGATGAGTAGTGCAAAAATTATCCCCATATCACTTATCTGAGGACCAGATAAGTGAAGTGACTTACCTTTGATGACACCATATAATTTCAGAGCTGGGTCTCCTGACTAAATTTAGTATTTATCCCACTATAACATACTGCTGCTCCAAATTATAGATCAACAAGTTTAATCCAAATGAATTCTCTTCTTTGATATTAGGAAAATGTACCATCGTGATCTATTTTGTGTTAGTGGGGCACTGCTTGTCACCTTCAGCTTGGCATAAACCTCATAATATTCCTGCTGGATCATCTATCATTCTAACCTTAAAAACAATCATTTGTTCAGTCAAGTCAAGCCAAGTCATGTCAAGAAGTATTTATTGAGTTTACTATGTGAGGGGCAGCTAGGTGGCACAGTGGATAGAGCACTGGCCTTAGAATCAGGAGGACCTGAGTTCAAATCCTGCCTCAGACACATAACACTCCCTAGCTGTGTGACTCTGGGCAAGTCACTTAACCCCAATTGCCTCACCAAAAAAATTTTTTTTTTTAAAAAAAGAGTTTACTATGTGCCAGTCGCTGTGCTAAACACAGGGATAAAAAGAGAGGCAAAAATAGTGATTTCCCTCAAAGGGCTTACAATTTAACAGAGGAGACAGCATGTAAAAACAGATATGTACAAACAAGATGTATAGAAGATAAACCGGAGGTAATCTACAGAGGGAATGCACTAGCATGAAGGGGGATGGGGCCAGAGCAATAACTTATGGCCATATCTTCAGAAAGATAGTGACAGGGTTATGTGTTTTCTTCCTGAAGTGGGCTTATATTATTTGGGAAATCAGAGAAACTGTTTTTAAAAGTATATTGAAGAAATCTGATATGTACTTCAAAGTAGGAACAAGAAAAGTTATGATATTATGTGCATCAAAGTTAATTTAAATATAAAGTTACTTTTTAAAAATATTTAAATTATGTGTGTATACCTGTATTTAATTTGCAAGACTGGCTTTGAATATTCACAGTGCAGAACACATCAAGTTCTAAGTGTTACTCTGGTAGAAACCTTAATGCATTTTTAGCTTTTGGATGCCATGTTAGGAGGACTAGATTTATACTCTGCCTCTATTGTTATTTCCCACTAGGATATTGGAAATCACTGTCAATTTTTAAGTTATAATTATATCTGTCGCATACACCAAGACTCCATTTCCCAAATCCAATACGTTCCGGAAGACCTCTGTATCACATCCTCAGGAAACTCTCAAGCCTCGTTGGTAATCATGGACATGGACCAAAAGAGAAAAGCATACACGTGGAAGATAAAGAGGGTGAGAACCTTCTTTTTTGTCTTCCTTCCCAGGGCAACCTCAAAGTGCCCAACTTAGACTTTGCTGTTCCAGCTTTTTCTCATCTTTGCAAACTAGTTTTTCTGTTGATTACTCTCCAGGGAATAAAATGCTTTGATTTTTCCAAGTCTCTGAATCTATTGGTCAGTGGTGGGGTTGACTGTTGTGTCCGGGTGTGGAATCGATTTGTCCCAAGCCTTCCAACAGCTATGCTCCGGGGACATTTCTTGCCCATCCTGGGACTGGCCATCCAAGAACAAAGTGGACAGATATTCAGCTATTCCAAGGATACAGTAAGTTGGCATTCCATTTGGTTGCCTCTATCCCCAAAGCTAAATAATGATCAAGAGTGAATAGGGTGAGAGGAGAGTAAAAAAGATTCAGCCAGGTACTTATTCTTGAGAGGACGAATTTACCCCACCCCACCAAAAACCTGGAGGCTGATAGTTACTAGAACATAGTTAATAGAACATAGAATGTTAGAGCAGAGATCATCTAAATCCCTCATTTTCTGGAGGAAGAAACAGAATCAGAGAGATGAAATGATTTGTCTAAGGTATATGGTTGGCTACAGAGCTGAAATTAGAACCCAAGCCTACTGTCTCGCCAATCCAATTTTATTTCCACTATGCTATTTGGGTAAGAATTAGAAAAGCTTTAGAAGAAATGTGAAGCCAAAAGTACAAGGTTCATAGCTCACACCACACTGGTTAACCCTCACAATATGCATCTGGTTAACTTGGATGGCTTAAACATACTACTAATGGTGATCATAGCTTTAATTTCTATTTGTACCACTTAAGGTCCTTCCATTCTGTAGCCCACCTCCTCCCACTCCTATCAACAATTGTAAAACACTAGTCATAAGGGGAAACATATAGTGGAAATGAATTCATTCTAATCAAAACGAATCTGCTATTGACAGTGGTTTCGGTGGCAATTTCTTTACATAGTAAACTATGTGGCATGACAACTAAAGAGTCAGAATCAGAGTCAGAAAGACCCAGGCTCAAGTTCTGACTTTGACACATACCAACTATTTAATGCTAGACAAATTATTTAAACTCTCAAAGCACCAGTGAATTCTCTAAGGCTATAAATTACAGAAAGGTTGATAGTTTGCATTGGTAAAGGGAGTTTCCTCACCAAGAGCTCCCCAGACCAGTGAAATTATAGATAATAAGTAGTTGACATTTGCCTTTCACTTCAAGGTTTGTATAGTGCTTTACATGCATTATCTCATTTGATCCTGGAAAAGAACTCTAAAAGGCAAATATTATTGTTGTTGTTGTTGTTGTTGTTGTTATTTTACAAGTGAGAAAACAGGTTTAGAGAGGTTTATTGAATTGACCAGTCATATGGTAAGAGTCTGAGGTGGGATAAAGTGGGATACTGGGTATGAGTGGGATTAATAGACGATAGTGAAAAGGGTCAAGAAATAATGCATTATCCATTTAATAGTTCAAAAAATATATATTAAAACCGGTATTGTGAGTGTGTCAATTGCTTTAAGTATGTTATTCCCACTGAACTTTGATTTCAAGATGACTGTAAGTCTCTTCTCTTATATACACCTAGAGCTACCTCCTTGATAGCTTTATGTTTTCCTGGAGGAGGCCAACATATTTATAAGCATCATTGTTGTCCATTTGTCAATTTGTTGAATTTGACCTCTGAATACAAGCTTAAAGTCTTCAGTATCAATTTTTCCTTGGAATTATTTATGTATAAAGAATTTTATATACTTCAAGTCCAAACTATACTTTTATATCATTGGGAAAATTGAAAAAATTGAAGAAACTTTAATGTGTTTTAGGTGAAACCAGAGAACTTGATACAATCATGTATGTCAAATGATTAATAAGATTTTTAACTCTAATTAGGAAGCAACACTCACTTCTATTTAGAAGAGATTATAATGGATTTTAGCTATCTCCCTGAATGATATTGTTTTATAACAATCTTTGACATTATCATATTGATGGCAAGCTTTAAATACAGAACAACAGTTTCCTATGTGGGCATCAAATGTTTTATTATACTCAGTATGATTGTGTATATTTTATATATTTTCAGCACATGAACAAGTCATCAATGCACAACTGAATCAAATGCTTTGCCACAATCAACAAAGATAGTGTAAATATTATAATTCTTTGGGATACTTTATTCAGTAATTTCCAAATCACTAATGAATTGTATCCCTAAGACTCAATCAATATGTGGTTTTCTTGTGTTTATAGATTTTTTTTAGTGATAATAAACTATGAATGTCTTGTATTAAGTACATAAACATGTATTTGGCTTACATGTAAAGGGGTCATGAGAGTTCTCATTTTTTGTTGGTGGATATGTGATACCTTCTGTTAAGAAAGGTAGTAAGAGACATATATCAGACAGGAATCTGTCAAAATTCTTTTTGAGCAATTCATTAGCCACTGTGAAAAATTCAAACCGATAATTATGGATTTTATCCAAACCCTTGGCTTTCCAATTTTGCAAAGAAGCTAGAGTTTCCTTTAACTCTGATGACAGTATTGGTATGTTGTTCATTATATTCAAGGCACATGTACCGAGTTTGGCCCTGGCAAGGAAAAGTACAACCTCATTAATAAATATTAGGGGAAAGGAGAGGATTGGGGGATGATGTCAAGGGGGTTTTAGTAAAGAAATAGAGAGAAGAGGGAGCTCATATGAATATGGCCTCAATTTTTTCAGCAAATTTACAAGTGAGGTGTTCAGGGGCAGCTAGGTGGCGCAGTGGATAGAGCACCGGCCCTGAAGTCAGGAGGACCTGAGTTCAAATCCGGCCTCAGACCAAACACTTGACACATACTAGCTGTGTGACCCTGGGCAAGTCACTTAACCCCAATTGCCTAAAAAAAAAAAAAGAAGAAGAAGAAGAAGTGAGGTATTCAGCTGAGAAAGAGGGGTAGGAAATGTGTAAGAGGCTTGAGGAGAGAAAAATGCATAAGAGATTGCCTTGCAACAGTGAAGACCCAGGTGAAGTTGAATAATATGAATATATAGTGCACACAGTTCAGCATTGTTTTGCAACATGCTCCAGCTCCATTCAGCAGCATGTAAGTAGGAGCAGGGGAAGTAGGTGGTGGAAGTAACCCATGGTTGGGTTTTGGCAAGGGATAAACATCAATAGAATAGACAGATTCCAGAACTGGTGACAGTCTAGAGTTGAATTAGTTAACTACAGGATTGAGATTTGGAAAAGGGGAAAATGAAGTCAAAGAAAGGATAATGGTCTGAGAAAGTACTGACTGAGAGATTAAGGGATTGGAAATTGTCATGAAGGTTAAGTATAGATTCAGGAGGAATGAAATATAGAGAGAAATGGAATGACAGGCAGCTCTGATCATATAGAATAATGTCAGAGTTTTGTTTACAGAAATGTAACATGGGGTTATTTATTTTTTTATTAATGAAAATACACCTTTTCTCCCTCCCACCAGCCCCCACTGACTGAAAAAAGAAGGAGGGAATAAATAGGTATAGTCAAGCAAAACAAATTCCTACATTGTCTGTTACCAAAAAAAAAATATGTCTCAATCTGTACCCTAAATGTATTATTTCTCTGTCAGAAAATGGGTAGTATGTTTCATCATAACTCCTCAGGAATTATGGTTGATTATTGCATTGATTAGAATGTTTAAGTCTTTCAGAGTTGTTTGTCTTTTGATATTGTTGTTAATTGTTATATGTAGTATTATTTTAGAAGTTGTTCTCCTGGTTCTACTCACTTCACTCTGCATCAATTCATACAAGTCTTACCAGGTTTCAGAAAAACCATTCCCTTCATAATTTATTATAGCAAAATAGTATTCCATTGTATTTATATATCATAATTTGTTCAGCTATTTCCCAAATTCATGGGTAACCACTTAGTTTCTAGTCATTTGCCATAGCAAAAGGAGCTGCTATACACATTTTGTGCATATGAGTTCTTTTCCTCTTTCTTTGATCTCTTTGAAGTAGAAACCTAGTAGTGCTATCACTGGGACAAAAAGTATGTATAATTTAATAACTTTGGGGACATAGTTCCAAATTGTTTTTCAAAATGGCTGGACCAGTTTACAGCTCCACAGCCCCTTCATTATTTATCATTTTCACTTTTTATCAACTTTGCCAATCTGATGATGTAAGGAAGAACCTCAAAGTTGTTTTGATCTGCGTTTCTCCAATTATTCATGTTTCAGAGCATTTTTTTTCCAGGCAGCTATTGGTAGTTTGGATTTCTTTCCTTGAAAATTATCCATTCATATCCTTTGACCATTTTATCAAGTAAGGGATGGTTCTTATTTTTTTTATAAATTTAAGTCAATTCTATATACATATATGTACATGGGCATATATTAGAAAAGAGGTACTTTATCAGAGAAACTTACTGCAAAGATTTTTCCTAGTTACCTACTTCTTTTCTAATTTTAGTTGTACTAGTTTTATTTGTGCAAAAACTTTTGAAATTATATCATTAAAATTGTCCATTTTACTTTCTGTGATCTTCTTTATCCATTATTGTCATGAGCTCTTCCCCTACCCATAGATCAGAAAGTTAATTTCTTCCTTGCTTCTCTAATTCATTTATAATGTCACCCTTTTTGTGTAAGATATGAATCCATTTGGAGTTTGTTTTTGCATATAGTATGTGATATTAGTTTGTACATAGTTTCTACCAGACTGCTTTTTAGTTTTGTAAGCAATTTTTTTTCAGATAGATCTTAAAAGTGGACTTGTGAGTGAGATCCAGGATGTGACCATCTCTGTGAGTGACTAAGATGGAGTGAAGAAATAGGTACTAAAATTTAAGGAGACTGAGGAATCGGAAGGTTAAAGAGTTTGGGGGAGCAACAACAGAGATGTTGAAAGTCCCTGAGTATAAGGGAAAGAGTTGAGTATGAGTACAAGACAATAAGCCAAGTTCTGAATTCCTTTAGAAACGAGGGATAATGACCTGGGTGAAGGGAAAGAGGAAGTGATATCCAACAACCACAATGATTTGAATAGGGTAGAATTTTTTTTAATTGAGTGAACTTAAAAGAGGCAAGGTTAATGAGTGATCACAGTTAATAGAGAGTTTGTGTCTGTGGAGAGTAAGGAAGTTTTCAACTCCACCTCCATAACCAATGTGTCAAGGGTATGGTGAAAGGTACAGTCAATGCTAAAGGGAAAGGAAAAATATCCAGAGAGGCAATATTGTTGAGGGGAAGTGATGTCTCAATGACAGGAAGATATCCAGAATGAGAGGATCTTTGTTTTCTATAGAACAAAAATTCTAGACGACAAAGTGGAAGTAATGGCTAACGGTAGAGTAAGATGTTGGTTGAGTGGAGCTGAAAAGAATGGGAACGAGAAAATGAGATGTTGGTTGAGTGGAGCTGAAAAGAATGGGAATGAGAAAATCTGAGATGGGGGTTAGGTTTTGTTCTATGTGACTAATGATCAGCATAGGGATGGGGAGAGTAACTTGACCATCATGACAGTTTTAAGTAGGGCCAGGTTATAACCCTATGCTACTCTAGATATTTATTTGACTCTTAGAAGCTATTGTATCATATGAACTTGGTTACTAACTGAATCACATAGTGCAGTGGTGTGCTAAAGACAGCTCTAGCCAGCCAATTGTTAAACTTTCAGTATGATCATTTACACCTCAGAAATCACAATCAAATCTGGGTTTGATAAGTTGTTTTGTTTATTGTTAAGACTTAAGAACATGTTAATAATGCAGATTAAACTTAAAAATTGTGTGTACATGTTATTGGTGATTTTTTTTTTCTGGAGTCTGAGTATGGTCAGACTCCAGAACCTAGGTTCTGACCATGGATAAGTTACTTAACCTTTCTGACCATGAGTAGTTACTTAGCTGAGGAACCTCAGTTTCCTCATATGTAAATTGGTAATAACAATAATTGCGCTACCTACTTAACAAGGTTGGTATAAGGAAAATGCTTTATAAATTTCAAGATGCTGTAGAAATGGAAGTTTTTGCTATCACCTCCAAACATAGTTTATTCACTGAGAGACAAACCTACTGAGAAAATAACATTCCTCCAGGTGGTTACTACCATGTAGAACTGAGGAGCTGGAACAACTGGGATTAGGAACCATAAAGGTAGGCAGTCAAGTGAAACAAGACAAAGGTTGTGGGTGGAAAAAAGTAAGAGTAGAATTAAAGGTCATGGAAGAGAGGAGGAGAGGAAAACAAAAAACATAGAAGAAAGTCTAAGTCCCAATTGTGGGTCTGACCTTATGTCAATATGACTTCTAGCCAAGCTTCCAACAAGATCAGTATAGCTATAAACAATGAATGATATAAACAGAGGTAAATCAGAGTACCCATTCACCTGTTTCTGCCCCTACTACAGACAACCTACCTTGCCCCATGAAAGGAGTTTTATCAGAGTGTAGCAAGTTTTCCTAGTTCATTTTCATAGAGTCATAAGATTTAGAAGTAGAAGATACCTTGGTGAATCAATTAGCACAGCCTTTTTATTTTGGAAAGGAGGAAAATGAAGCTGATTAAAATTGCAATGTTTGCCCAGGTTCACTCAAGTAATAAGTAGCAGAGTTGAGATCAGAACAAAAGTTCTCTAAATCCAGTGCCTTTTCCACCATTCCTTGCCCCATAGATTTATCCTGTTTTTTGAGCTCACATTTTGTTCTTTGGAACAGATCATAGAATGTATGCTACATTTGACATTCAATTGCTGCTTGTATTCCCCCAGTTAAAGTGTTTGAGGTCATTAGATAATAGGAACCAGTAGATGAGACAAAAGCAAAAATGTCAGAAATAAGTAAACAGAGCTACTGAAATTAGAGTCTTACATTGATAACTTCTTTCCTTTTGTTCCTTACTGTGAAAATATAATGAGTAAAACCACTTAACAATAGAAGCAGGTTTCCTCAAGGGAATCATTCCTTTCTGTTTTTCTCAGGTGCTGAAGATCTGGGACATGAGTTACCACACTTGTCTCTATACTGTGGCATTGAAGTTCCCCCACTCCCAGCCTGAGCATGTGTTGGAACAAGGAAGCTTCCCCTTTCTATTTCTCCAGAAGCCTTTGTCCCTGATCCTCATCTCCCATACCGACTACATTGGTATGCTGAGATTACCCATACCTACACATTCAGAGATAAACCTTACAGCACCCCACAAGGCTCCACTGTGTGGCACTGTGTACAATGCCTTCTTTCATCAGGTCAGACATACTCTAAAGGAACCACTAAGAACTTCAGCTCTATGGGGCTGGGCCCAACAGAAGGTGTGGAAGGACAGGTGTGGCCACCATCTAAGTGTTTTGTCTTACTTGATGGCGTTTGGTAGAAATAAGTAGTTAGTGTTGGGTGAAAGACAAAGGAATAGAGTCCTACTGCCACTTTGAGGAAACATAAACACAGCTCACTTTACATAGGTATGGGGACCTATTCAGGGAAATACAGAGCCCTCCTCCCCCACAAAAAAGCATATTTAATTTAACAAATATTTATTAAGTAGTATGTATTTATTAAGTATCTACTATTTTAAGTAGCACTATTTATTAAGTACCTACTTCCCACATGGAAGAAAAGTTAATAGGTGCTGGGAATACATACAACAAAGCAATCAATGCCTTCAACAAACATTTTCTAGTTTGGAGATGGGAGGGAAAGAAATAAAAGTATATACAAATGTACACAAGTGAAATATTAATTCAATGCCAGGAAATGAAAGAACAAAGGAAAAATCACATGGTGTGCTCTGGTAGTTTGCTATCGATATGGAGGGGGGTCTTTAGAGAAGAATTCCAGGTATCTATGTTTGCTCCAGTGCTATTTAATATATTTATCAAGGACTTAGATAAAGGCATAGATAGCATGCTCACTAATTTGAAGAGGGATAGATAACATATTAATTGATAGAGTCAGAATCAGTATACAAAATTATCTTGACAGGATAGAGCATTGAACTAAATCTAATAAGATGAAATCCATTAAGGATAAATGTAATCTTCCACTTGGTGCAAATAATCAACTTCATAAGTATAAGATGGAGGGAGCATGGTTAGATAGCAATTTTTCTGAACACAATTTGGAGGTTTTAATGGATTATAAACACAAATGTAAGTCACATGATGTGGCAGCCAAAAAAGCCTAATATAATTTGCATTAAAAGGAGAAATAGAAAGGTAATGTTCCCACTAGACTCTGCCAACATCAGATCTCATCTAGAAGATGGTGGTCAGTTTGGGGCACCATTGTTTAAGAAGGAAATTGAAAAGCTAGAGAATGTACAGAAGAAGGCAACCAGGATGGTGAAGGGACCTGAATCCATGACATATGAAAATTGATTAAAGACACTGGCCATTTTTAGCCAGGAGAAAAGAAGATTCAGGGAGGATATGATAACTGTCTTCAAGAATTTGAAGGATTATCACGAGGAGGAGCAGTTAGACTTCTATCTGACCCCAGAGGAAAGAACTCAGAGAAAAGATGGAAATTACAAAGAAGCCAATGTTAGCTTGATGTCAGAAAACAAACAAACAAAAAATCTTCCTAACAATTAGTGCTATCTAAAAGTGGAATGGGCTGCCTCAAGAGTTAAAAGGAGGTCTTCCATGGAGGTCTTCAAGCAAAGATTGGGCAAAACACTTGTTGGGCACCTTATAGTGGGACACATAGCTAGGCCTTGTCAGAGATGGCACTGGAACCCAGATTATCTTGATGCCTAGGTCATCTATGCCATGCTTTCCTTACCACATTTCTGTTAAGGAGGTAGTTTAAGGAGTAATATTCCCATTTTTTCAGATGAGGAAACTGAGGATGAGGTTAAGGACTTAAGAGCACATAACTAGTTAAAAAAAAATAAAAAATAAGAGCCAGGATCTGATTCCATGTTTGTTTATTTTTTCCTGTCTCTATATCCTTAATTAGTGCCAAATCTCCATCTTTTGAGAATAGATTTGATTTTTGGAAACAGTCCAAAGTCATTTAGTTCTATGCTTGATTAGATGAATGATTAAGGTGAGTAATACTATTTCTGTGAGGTTTCTTTTTTTTTATAACTTTGAAATAGATGCTTCTTTATAAAGTAATGAGACAGATATTTATATAGTGCTAGCATGGGTAGTTTGGGCAATTAGGTGGCACAGTGGATAGAATGTCAGCCTGGAGTCAGGAAAACTTAGCTTCTTGAGTTCAAATCTGGCTTCAGATACTTACTAGCTATGTGACCCTGGGCAAGTCATTTAACACTGCCTCAATTTCCTCATCTGTAAAATGAGTTGGAGAAGGAAATGGCAAACTACTCCAGAATCTCTTCCAAGAAAACCCCAAAATGGGGTCATGAAGAGTCAGACACAACTGAAAATGACAACAACAACAGTAGGAGCCAGTAAAGGCACAACCATAGAAAAAACACCATACCTGGAATCAAGAGAGACCTGGGTCAATCCCAGCTCTGACAATTGCTATCCAGCGACTCTGGGCAGGTAACGGCTACCTCTGAGTCTTGGTTTTCCTGATGAAGTTATTTTGAGTAAGGCATTCTGTAAATCTTTGGTGGTAGTGGGTAAATGTGAGCTATTGCTATTACAATATGTAATTTGGGAAAGCACAACAGGAATGATCACATCGGGGACACTACTTTGAAAGAACAATTTGCCACCACAGGATCTTTGGAAAAAAAGAATAATAGTCTCTTGAGGTGACTACTTAGATGATGACAATAATCATTTGCATAAATTCTGAAAATTTTTTTGAGGAGGAGAAGAAAGAGGGGGAAGGAGTCTGGACCCGCGATTTTGTCACTATAGGGAACTCCTAGTGTAGAAACTGCAGTATCAGAAATAATTACTCCTAGCCTTAGAGGATTGCCTGGAGGGCATTAAAAGGTTGTGATTCACCCATATCTGCACAGGCAGTAGGTTGGAGATAGGATGTGAATCTACATCTTTCTGACTGAAGGTTAGTACTTCATCAGTGGCCTCCCAAGTTCTGATAGGTTTCTTTCAAATAATAATTGATCTCATTACTTTATAGTCACATCTCATGTTCCTATGAAAGAAGATGAGGCAATAATGCAGCTGTTGTAGCTGGCTTCTCCTCCCTTCTCTTGCCACTGCCCAGAGGAACAACCAGTCAGTCAGGTTCTTGGATTTTTCCTACCCTTCACCCCCATCGATACTTTTGTGTCTTTCAGCTGCTATGTACAAAGCAACTGGCCCCATTTCAGAAAAATGGAGGAGTCCAGGCAAACGACATTTACAACTTGCTCTAATGACCAAAGTTTTCAGCCAGGCAACTCAAACTGCCAATAGGATGGAAGGGAGCCATCGATAAATCATTGCCTTTTTTTCTGGGTCTCTGCTCCTCCTCATGCTAAATAGGGAAGATTGTGATAGATCTATAGTATAGTCAATGTAAAAAAAAAAAAAAAAAAAAAGACCTTGCTTATCCTCCTCCAGTCCAAGATTTCACCTCCCTCTTCACTCAAGCCCCATCTTTTGATTAGAGGAGGAAAGAATAGACAAGGGCTGGCTGCCAAGAAATGCTAAGAAACACTGGAAAGCCCAAAGTTTTTTTTTGTTTTTTTTTTTATCACTTTGCCTAAGCAGAACCCGGCAAGTTACTCAAGTGATGATGGCTTCCTCAGCTGAACTCCAGAGCACCTAGGGATGGAAACGAGCCAACACTTCTCCTCTCAGAAGAGCTCAGAAAGAGCGAGGCTGACCAAGAAAGAGAATACAGTATAGGCTTTCTAAACTAAAAGGGAATCTCCGTTTCGGCAGCATAACTCAGTTCCCTGGCAATTCCTCTCTGATGAAGTCCAGGATCCTTGGACTACAGAGGTCAACTTTGCTTCTTTTCTACAGTATATGCCAGTGAACCAGTCTTTAGCTTCCTAATGTTTTCCAACCAGATGCCAAACTCTCCTCCTCCATAATATGTTGACCTTTATCTGACTTGCTGAAGTTTCCTCAAATACATTATCTATCTTCTTCCTTTTGGGCAATAGTTACAAAGGCACTTAGACTCAGGAGTCCTGAGCTTCATCAGTCACCAAGTCAATCAACAAGCAGGGTAGCTGTGTGACTTTGAGCAAATAGCTTAACTTCTCTGAGATTTTCTATTTTAACAAATAGTTCTCTGGCCTCACTGTCTCAGAGGTCAATTACAATACCCCTTTGGGGATCTAAGAGTTCTCCTGAGGGTTGGGATGTTCCTTCTCTAATGGGCTCAAGATCCCATTCCAAGAGTGTTGCTCCTCACTGTGAGCCAACAAAAAATAGCACCCCAGTTCCCTTTAACTAATTGACGTCAATTAGAATTTACAAAGGGATATTTATTTTGGGAATATTGAAGAAGTAAGCATGAAAGTACAAATATTTCCCCCTAACACTTCAAGGTCACACTCTCTCTTATAATTCCTTGGTCTCTGGGGAAACAACACAGCCTTAACACAGTTTCTATTTATTGTTGGGTTCACCGAGTTAACAGTCATACATGCTGCATTGATACAAGATGATTGACTCATCCAGTCTAGTCAACAAGCATTTATTAAGCACTTACTCTGTGCCAATCACTGTGCTAATCATCTCAGCTTACCAAAGGGCTAGGCTGGATTTGAAAAGTCATCCCTTGCTCCTCAGGGTATCAGTGCTAGGCTGGTCACAAAAACCCAGCATAAACTTGACTCCTGGACTCCCAAACTTCAGATGGCTCCTAACCTTTCAAAACTCACAAGACGCTAGCCTTCAATCGAAAACAAAACAGAACAAAATATGTTGAGGCAAAGAGCTGAGCTTCTATTCATGGGGCCACATGATAGCCTTAGAGGGAAAAATGCAAAGGTCCCTCTCCTTACAGCACTGTCAAAAAGAAGTAACACCAGATACTAGGAAGAAGCAACACTGGGAGAAGAGGTCACGGTTCTACTTACCCAGTGTCTTTTGAATGTGCCGCCAGTCAATCAAAAGAGTTCCTCTTCAATGTGTGGTTAACAGACTGGAATCAGTTCCATGATGTCTACACATGCTTCAAAATCTCTCCAAGGCATTTCTATTGTACATCATTGCAAGTATTCTAGAAACTTCTTCCATGTGGTAAATTACTGTAAAGTATTGAGATGATGTTTAGTGTAATTGAAAAAGCCTGGATTTAAATTTGAAGACTTTATTTCAAATTCTAACACTGCTATTCACTACCTGTGCAATCTGGACAG